TGTGATTAGGTTTGAAATTTTTCCATTCCATTTGGTCAATTTTTATGGTATGTGTTTTTTTCGTGGATCAATTGCTGTGAAAAATTTTCTATACCTAATCACATGGAGATTTCTTTGATGTGAAATTATTTTTATAAAATTTTTTGATACGAACTAAACATGCCCTAGGGCTCAGTTTGACCGACCATTGAATAACTAGTAATTCAATTGACCGTTAGTGAAAACTTTCATATCAAAAGATTTGGCAACTAGAAATGCTATGGTGAAACGAAGTGTAACATTTCTCAAAAATGAGAAATGGAGAGGGTACCATAATACTCTTTCTTACGACACAAGAAAGAATAGAAAATTATTTACCCAAAAACTTTGACAGATAATCACTTTGACCCAACATTCAATAAGGGTGGCAACAGGACCAGGGCACGGGGCCAGCCTGCGTTCAGCCCAAGCACGGCGCTGGTCTTAATAGGATAAGGCCGCGGCAAATTAAATGAAAAAAAATAAAAGAAGTACAAAAAAAAAGCCAGGCTAGGTCATACTAACCCCGCACAAGCCCCAGCCCTGCTCTTGGGCTAAAACGTGTGGCCTAGGCTCTACTTTTTAAGGCCAGGTTGGTCAGCGCGGCCATTCCCAGCCCTAAGATCATTCAAATTCGAGAAGCATCCCCAAAAAAAAAAGGTTTCCATGGAGCCCTATATTGTATATGAATACGCAGTCTTACAAACTTAGGCGCCTCCAACCTTTGAAATAGCTAAGAGGGCCAAATCAAAGTTTCGTTATTTTAGAGAGAAACCCCTTGATAATCGCTACATGAGTGTATTTGGTAGTCCAAGGCCTTTTTTTTCACTTTTTTTACTAATGGAAAAAGTTTATATGGACCTTCTAAACAATTAAATTAGAGCCTACCTAAAAAATTTCACTAAATGAGATTGTTTTGATGCTTAAATATCTTCAAATACATAATTTCAACATGAATATGCATCGACATGAACAAAAATGGATTTCAAATTTTAAAAATAATGTATTTTGTAACATATTTTTGAACCATCAACTTTCAAAATTTTCAAGCTATCGTAAATCTGCAAACCTATGTTTGAAGCTTTAAATTTTATAATTAAAAATAAAAATATATTTTTAAGCTATTGTCACGCAGGTTCACTATATTAAAATTATATTCTATTTAAAAGTAAGCTTTACTTTGATTGTTTAGAACCTGGGCGCTATACAAACCACACCCTTCAATATTTTACCCCTCGAAACGATCTGCCTCGCCGCACTTCTGTCAGCTTCCCCTTCTCTGTCCCTCTGAACTTCCCATCTCTGTCCCTCTTCGGGCCTCCCTTCCATGGTCTCTCTTCGACCAACCGTCGACGAAGAGAAAGCTCGTGAAGCCTGTGAAATTTCTAGGTCGAACCCACAGCCGCCCTCATTCGATCGCTATTATCACATTGAAGCCACAAATTAGTGAGTTATTTTTTTACTGTTTATTATAATGATAAACCCTAACGCATTGATTTAAAATTTTGAATCTATTTTCCGTTTATTTTTTTTTCCGGCTATTCTTGCTAATAAACCCCAAATGAGTATTTTTTTTTTGCTGTTGGTTGCTGATAAATCCCAAATACCTAGGTAACTTATAGAGAAACCCAAACGAGTGAGTTAATTTTTTTTGCTGCAATTCTATATATTGATAAAATTAGAGCTTTAGTAAATTAAGGTTTGATTGTGTGTTTGGTGGATTCTCAGTCTCTTGTGATTATCATATATTTCTTATTGGTTTTATTGTTTTGCTGTTTTCGGTGGTTGATCAGGGGCGTTGATCTGGTTTTATTGGACTCATTTTTATAGTAGATTGGGATTATATTTATTTATTGATACATATTAAAAAATATATATCTTTATTTATTGGTTGATTTTTCAATCTGATGCTTGCATATATTTCAACTGGATGGAAGTATTAATTTACTAGCCTTTTTTGCTTATTTTGTTCTTTAATCCTTGGATTTTTATTGTCTTGTTACATCCATATTTTTTATTTTGATTTTCAATAGTTTTAGGCATATTCTTCTCTTGGAACTGGTCCCCGAGTTATGTTATGGTCAGAGTTCGTAAAATCAAACCGGAACGGTTAACCGGATATGGGCTTAGAAGCGGTTTAATCGGCCGAACCGGTAAACCGCCAATTCAACCCCTCTAACCGGGCAAGTACCAGGCAGTCGAAAAGTGTTGAAAAAAAATAAAAAAAAATACAAAAAAAAAAAAATCTACTATAATATGAAAAGCATATAAAGAATGATTAAAACAAAACACATTCAAATGAAGTTGAAAATTAATGAAAAAATGGGTTTTAACCCATTTTATATTTTCCAAGGGCTATTTTTAAAATTTTCTAAAAAAAGATGGAAAAATATAAAAGTGAGTATTAATGACCAAAACAATTTTTAATCTTTACCCTAATGTAGAGAATATTTAAAAATGCATTACAAATCAAATTCCTTATTTTTGAGAATTTATATACATTTTTTCGAAATTTCTTTTTTCAAATACCAGTTGTTCACCCTAACCAAAACCGGAACCGGCCACTGGCTGGTTCCGATCTAACCGGGCGGTTAGGGGTTACATCGGGCGATTTTGCGAACAATGGTTATGGTCCATTACTATACATTATATCATGATTTAGGTTTCTATTCGTATTTTCTATGCATTTTTAGGGTATGTTAAGTGTGGTTTTATTATTTTAATTTATGTTTTTGTTTTGTTTGAAATCAGGGTGTTTGTATGCATTGTCTCTAATATTATGCAGCTGAATCTTATAGAAAATTGTTCTTCCTTGGCACTGTCTGTTGTGTAATGCATCTGATCAAAAAAATTTATTTCTTGAAAACAGAAAATTTATTTCCTTCTCTTTTATCTGTTTGAGTAATTCTGATGAGAACGCTTTTCTCTTATCTTTTATAAGTCTGCCATGGATTTATTCAGAGCTTTGCGTCTCTTTGCTCTTTTTGTTTCCTTGTGGTAAGCGTTACTCTCTATCTCTATTCTGGTAAAGCAATCGTACACTGATTATACTTGCTTATTTTTTTCTTATTCTGACCCTGATGGTTCCATTTGGTTGAGATTTTGATTTTATTATTATTTTTGTCTTTGTTTGGTTCAGCATCTAATAAAGAATAGATGTTTGGTTATTATTTATCTTCTTTTGAAGTAATAACTGTAGTAGGTTCCATCTGGTTGAGATTTTGATTTTATTATTTCTTTTGTCTTTGTTTGGTTCAGCATTTAACAGTGATTTAAAAAGCGGACCGCCCAGCGCCTAGGCCGTCTAAGCGGTCCAGAAGGCCTGGCGCATTGCCCAGGCCTAGACGGCCAATCTGGGAGGCCGCCTAGGCTGTACGGAACCCGCCTGGGCCAGCACTGGGCGCCTAGGGCCTGCGCCCCACCCAGGGGTGGAAAAACCATGTGGTGAGGGCATTTTACGTCTTTTTTTTTGTTTTTAAGGGCAAAAAATTAGGGTTTTAGGTTCATTTGAAACCTAAAACTTGTTGGAGCCAAATTTAGAGAGAGAAAGGCCCCAAAAAACTAGGTTGTGGTGAATTTTCTAGGATCGAAGGGTTACTCAAAGTTAACAAAAATTGATCAAAACATCACCCATTGGTATTATATTTACTTTTTGATGTTTTGCAAAGTTATTAAGGGGTTTTTTTAGAAGATTTTGAGTATTTAGAAGCATCTTTGAGGTGGAAGTTTGAAGATTGAACAATCAAACTCAAAGTAAGTGATAATTTGGTTGGATGGAAAATTTTAAGTTTTAATTGGATATAGAGTATGAACCGACTTATGGATTATGGTTATGCTTATGGAGTGTGTGCTAAATGCTAAATAATATGTAGTATAATTTGAATTATGTATTGCAATACATATAATTGATATTGAGATAACTGCAGAATGCCAGGATCCTTATTTGGATTCAACTGGGCTGCCCAGGTTCGGGGTGCCCGCCTAGGTGCTGGGCGGCCTGGACCCCCCAGGCTGCCCAGGACCCTCCAGGCCGCCCAAGACCCGCCTAGCGCTTTTTTGAAGCTATGGCATCTAATAAAGAATAGATATTTGGTTATGATTTATCTTCTTTTGAACTAATAGCAGTAGTAGATCAATGTTCATTTGAATCACTATATGATGATCTGGTTTTTTTTTCTTGTGGAAAGATCAGCTTTTTATATGTCTTTCTTCCATTGATTTTCTATTCTTCTTAATGTTCCTCTGATTAATTTTATATAGTTCCTTATTTATACCATGGTTTATTTCTCAATTTGGTGATATGTTGGATGAATGGAAGAAATCTTATTTAATTACAAAATATTTTTTAAAAATTGCATTTCGCACCTCATATCTATGAAATATATAATAAACAGTATTGCAGGCAGTTTCCAGCTTTCCAATTGCCAGACAGGTGAAATTAACAATAACACAGTTTATTAAACAGGGTTTCCAGCTTTCACCCTATCAATTTCTGGGAAGTCAGCTGTAGAGGTGATTCCAAGGGACACTGCAGTGAAAGTTATCAAATGCTACCTTTCTCTCTCTTTGTCACCTCTCTCTGTTTGTTCTGATAGAGATGATGCTTTGGTAATCTAATTAATGTTGGGAGGGAGTCAGCCATGTCCAGATTGCTCCTTCGCAGACTAAACCCATTCCTTTCTCACTCTACCCCTTTCTCTCTCCTCAAATCAACACCTTTTCCTTCTCTCTCTGACCCTTTCTCTCTTCCCAAATTAATGCCGTTCCTTTCTCACTCTACGCCTCTTCCACCCAGTCTCCTCTTTCACCAGAAGAATTATTCTCAACAAGAATCATCCAAGCCAGAAGATGCCATCCACCTTACTGAAAATTGCATTCGGGTAAGATTTCTCTTCCTTTATGAGTCTTTTTTTTTTTTCTATGGGAATTTTAATGGAGTTTTCAGTTCCATCTTGATTCATAAACATGAGACACAAAAATTCCCAATGACATTTTTGGGTCTTGTTCATTTCCTATTACAACTGTTGTGGAGAACGGAGTTCTAGCTTGTACGTTGGAAGAAGAAATCAGAATTCCCAAGAATACTTTGTAGGGTTTTTAGATAAGGGGAAACCAAAACACCCCAGAATGTATTGTTGGTTTACGAGTTACAGGAAAATCCAAAATACCCAACAACAGTTTTTGGGATTTAAAGTTACAGGAAGCTTCATCTAGAGGTTTTAGGTTAAATCTTTTGTGGGTATGAATCAGCTTCATCGTGAGGTTTTAGGCTAAATTTACAATTGGTTCGATTTTTTTGATTAGCGTTGCATAATTTACTGTGTAAATAGATGCACATTAAATAGGAATTTTTATATACAAGTACTTGTCTTCTGTAATTTATGGTTCCCCAAATTGAAGAGAGCAATGTAGGCTGCTTACCGCATTAATTCATTCGTTTTATTTTCTATATTTGGTCTTATTCTGAATTATTTTTCTGGTATAACCTTGATTCTCTAATTGAGAATATCTAATTCGGCTTGAACAGCAGGAATTTCACAATTTTGCAGTGAATTTCCTGTTTATTATTATACACAAATCTTTCGTATTTGAGATTACAATTACATCTAGAGCATGATTGTGCAAAACTACCACCTTTTTGTTAGTTAAAATGACAAGTACTGGTGTTGTTGATCTTCCTTCATTGGATTGGTCAAGTGATCTCCATACTTTTCCACACAGCTTAGTAATTTGACCTGATTGATTTTGCCTGTAATTGTATGTCTTGTAATGCTCTTCTCCTCGTGTATCAATCACTCATGAAGTACCTTGAAGTTTTCATGCATGAGATTCAAGATTCAAATATTATTATGTTTTAATCATAAGTTTCAGCACCCTTAATTGTGCACAATTTTGCAGTTTTTCAACTCATTTCAAGTTGTGCAATGAAATGTGCCATACTTGTTTCAAGTTACTCAATGTCAATGAAATTCACTAAATGAATCTGTGATTTTGTAGAGAATGAGAGAGTTGCATGCGAAGGAAATATCTGGTGGGGAACAAATGCTTCGGTTGAGTGTGGAGACTGGAGGCTGTTCTGGATTTCAATATGTGTTTTTGCTTGATGATATGCAGAACCCTGACGATAGGTCCTATTTTAACTTACATGCAAATTTTATTTATTAGTTTTAGCCTACATAATCATGTTTCCTAAAGTGTGCTTGTATATCGTTTAATATCCTTACAGAGTTTTTGAGAAGGATGGTGTGAAGCTGGTGGTGGATAACATTTCTTATGACTTTGTCAAAGGTTCTACTGTTGACTATGTGGAGGAGCTCATTCGTTCTGCATTCCAAGTAAGCACTTTTTACCTTACAGGCCATTCTTTTACCATTCTAGATTCTCAGAAATTTTATGCTTTGTCTTTGCAGTATAGTCTTTTTCGTTTTTTTGGTTTGTTCTTCTAGCCTTATAGTAAGGTTTAGTTGTTATTTATTTAGAAATTGATCCGACCAATATAAGTCTAATGAGCATGATGAACGCTTACTAACTAGTTTCCAAGAAGGATAGTATGTCATATATTAATTTCCATAATATACCCTAAGAAAAGAATGTGGAATAGATTGTAGCACTTTTGACTCTTCCTGCATGAATAGCTAATTTTTTATTTGAATGCTGTCCAATTGTCTAAACTCACTATTTTATTTGATCAAGAAAAATAATCCCAGAATATCTAGAATTTAGATCATCACTTGAGACAGACCAAATTTTTAGAGCTTACATTTAGATGTATTCATCTTGCTATTTGCACCGGACAAATTCATCCTCCTTTTTCTTTATTTTGTAGAAAATGACACACAAGGTGCCTTTGAGGAAACTTACCTCATGGCTCATGGATGGATACCCATTCAATAGTCCAAATAAATCAGGAAAAGGAAAGAAGGCACCAAATTTTTTTAAATTCAGTTGATTTTCCACTCCTACGTGAACCCTTGTTGAACAGTTTGATCCAATAGAAAAAACACAACATATCAAATGATTGCAGTGCAACAACTCTATTTTCTCTCCAAACACCCATAACTCTTTCAGCTCTTCTCATCGAAGAAGTGGATTGGTGTATGATTGCTAAGGGGTTTATCTTTCTGGAAATCTCATGGCCTTTTCCCATACAGATACCGACTCTTTAACTTGTTTATGTGGAAATGAAGAAGGCAAGGGCAATAACGAATCAAAAGTTTCAACTTCTCAAAACTTATTTCGGTGGACATTTTAGAGGGGAATTACATCCTCTTCCATCATCATCATCATCATCCGCGCTTCATCCCTACTAATTAGGGTTGGTCACAAGAATATTGTTCAGCCATTCCACTCTATCAAGGGACTTACCCTTAGTTAGATCATAAGTCACCATATCTCTTCGCACTACTTCCATCCATGTCCTTTTTGGGCCTTTCCCTTGTCCTTATAGAGCCTTCCACTTGAATCAGATCATACTCTCCCATATGGTTGGCTAATTCTAAGCCTCTTCTTTGTCTAATGTATTTCATTTCCCTTGTCTTTCTACTACTCCTGCATCTATTTGACCACTTGATAGTTGGGAACTACCATCCTGATTGCCGCCTTGCATTCATCATCCTGATTGCTGCCTTGCATTCTTCTTTGTTATTCTATTTCCTTTTAAAATATTTTACCCCTATTTTTGTTTGCATAGGGTCTTTGGCATCCTTGGCTTGGATATTCTGTATTTTATGTCTCATTTACCTATTGTAGATGAAAAAACGGATTGGATAAATGTAAGCAGTTTCATATTATGGAACCACGTGCACTCATCCTGTATCCATATTAATTGTTTATCACAGTAGAATGAGTCTCTTCTTAGTGCTTCGCATTTTATAAATTGCATGATATCTGTACCCTACTAGTGTTTCTTTTGCTTAGTTAGAATTGGGTATCTACTGACTAGTTTATATTTTTCATGGTTTATGTTTTGTGTTGTCTGTGTTATGCTATGAAGTTGAAGTACTCCTTATACATGGATGACTTAGTAAGCTGGTGTGTAACCTAGAGTTGTAGGAACCTTCTGTACTTGGGTAACGTTCCCACTTTGAAAACTAACATTTTTCATGGCAATTCCTTGATGGCTTCCATGGGAAAGTCTTCTACTGATTCCTCTTTGGTTTACATAATTTCTTTAAAGGAACTTTTGGTAGCTTATGTATAAGCATGGGAAGAGCATGCAACTCCAAGTTCAAAAGAACTATCAAACCCAAGTTTATTTGGTAAAAAATTGTAATTTTGTTTCGTAGGTGTCATCATGCGATGAGTATGGTGATGATGCTGTATCCATATATAGTGCTAATGCTGTATACATATGTAATTAAATGTAAGGCATTTTGGATGTCTTTGTACCTCGTTCTCCAAAATGAAGACTGAAAAGCTTCTTCATAGGCATGCTTGCCATGGACAATGAAGGGACATCTTGATGCCTTCATGAGAAACACACATGAGACATGGTTGCTCTTTCATGAGTCATCAGTGTATAGGAAATTTGGTTCAATTGATTGGTTGATTTAGGATCATGATCGGTTCTTAGGCTTGGACTTCTGATAATCAAGGTAAAGCTAGGTGGTGCCTGACCATTCATGTTACACTGTAATTCCAAAGAAGGAATAAAGCAATCCCTTCTCATGAGAGCCCTATTTTATGGTTTGATAATTGCTAAGTATGGTCTGTAAATTGGTCAGTATTTTGAATTGGGTCTTTAAGATTTGCTTGAAGCGGGAAAGAGTCTTCATGAAATTAGTTTCTTCTTTTTTAAAGAGGAAGATTGATATTAGGTAATCTTATGTTGTTTTCTCTTTTTTCTTTTCTGTGAAGGTAACCACGAATCCAAGCGCAGTTGGAGGATGTAGTTGCAAAAGCTCTTTCATGGTGAAATAGAGATGATTGATGGGCGTTGAGAGTTTGTGATCAGATCTACTCTTTTACTATAACACATAATCAATTCATGTTTATTTGTGGGTGAAATAATTGAGCAAACTTATTCTTTGTATAATGCTGCTAAATTCGGGATGTTTATTTTCAAAGTATAACACTTTTGTCGGTCCATTTCGATATAATTAAGCATCCTTTGAGTATCTGCTGTAAAGAAGAGGGGGACAATATTTGTAGTTCTAAACTTCTTCTGATCTTATTCTTTGTATAATGCTGCTAAATTCGGGATGTTTATTTTTCAAAGTACAACATTTTGGTAGGTCCATTTCGATATGATTAAGCATCCTTTGAGTATCTGCTGTAAAGAAGAGGGGGACAATATTTGTAGTTCTAAACTTCTTCTGATCTTATTCTTTGTATAATGCTGCTAAATTGATGTTTATTTTTCAAAGTATAACATTTTTGTAGGTCCATTTCGATATAATTAAGCATCCTTTGAGTATCTGCTGTAAAGAAGAGGGGGACAATATTTGTAGTTCTAAACTTCTTCTGATCTTTGTGAGATCGGATTTCTCTCTGTGGAGAGAGAGAGAGAGAGAGAGAGAGAGAGTAGTTAGTTTACTTCTTACTACTACTACTATAGTAGGTAGGTAAAGTTAACGTTACGGTACGTACTAACTAACGAAAGTAAGTTGTTACACCACTAGTAGTAGGTCGTACTTACCTTACTAAGTAAGGTAGG